ACTGAGGAAAAGAAGAGATCTGTACTAGATTTGTTTCGAGTAGGTGAAACAGTCTTTTAATAGAAATTAAGCCTCTAGGGCTTCACAGAGAAGAATTTGAAGTCTGGGTCTAAAACAAGAGGTGGAATGGTCATAGTTGACAAAGTCTGGAGCATGCTTTGAGAACATAAGGCTAAACTGAAGCGGGGGGTCATTGGGACTGGAAAAGGTGGTTAATTGTAAGATTAGGGAATTGAATGTGCTGTTGACATGAATATGAAAAGTCTTGGGATAGTGGCAGAAGTTCCAATGAAGAATAAGACTTTAACCTAGGTGTCAAAAATATTTTTTTGAGATGGAGTCTCACTCTGTTGCTGAGGCTGGAGTGCAGTGGTGTGATCGCTCACTGCAACCTCTGCCTCCCAGGTTCAAGCAATTCTCCTGTCTCAGCCTCCCGAGTAGCTGGGATTACAGGTGCCCACCACTACGCCCGGCTAATTTGCTTTTTTGTATTTTTAGTAGAAACAGGGTTTCACCGTGTTGGCCAGGCTGGTCTTGAACTCCTGATCTCCAGTGATCCGCCCGCCTCAGCCTCCCAGAATGCTGGGATTAAAGGCGTAAGCGACCATGCCTGGCCCAAAATCTTTGTACCCTGTAGCGGGAGCAGGTTGGGAGGGCAAGAAGGAGAGATAAAGGATAGTGAGATTCAGAAGCCTAAGAAGTTCATCCTACTGGTTTGACATGGTTTGAAAGTACCCTTGGAGTTAGAACGCTAGCTTTTTATTCCAGTTGGTAGCACTTGTAGTAGGGAAGAAAAGGTAGTTTCTCCTATAAATAAATGCTTATAAGGATAACAGGGGAGATATGATTTGGACAGCTAGAAAGGAATGGTAAGACACTTCAGGCAAGCAAAGTCACATGAATATTAAAGTGGAGAAGAAAAAAATGTGCAGTAATTTGATCAGATTGCGGTTTAAGGGAAAGGAATAGGGAGGCATAATTGGAGAAAAGCAACTGGCACCTGATTGTGGTGAATTTTGCTTATCACTTTGACCTGTAAGAGAGTAGTTCTCATTTGTCCCGCACCCCCATTGTAATTCACTTGATAGAGAAAAACGAAACTTAAATACAGGATATACTCTCATCAGTAATCATTATCCTACTAGAGAAATAAAAAAGTTAAATGTCATGTGCCTTAGCTTGTAACTTTAAGTGTCATGTGCCTTAGCTTGTAACTTTATCTCTCTCTCTCTCCTAGTGATCTGAAATACTCAAGTGTGTTAGTTTCATCAGTCAGCCCAATTAGGATGCCTTGCTTTAAGCAATTGGAAACTATTGAAATTCTATGATTTTAAAAATTCAAAAAAGGAGTTGATAAAAGCAATACTTCATGAAATTAATCTAGAAGAGGTGTTCCAAATGGATTAAACATAATATTAAGCAGGTATGAAGACTGTAGGTTGTTCAGTCATAGGAAAAGAAGACTTGACAAAGCCCAGGGATTAGTTGGAAATGATAGGTAAAAATGAAAGAATCAAATCCTCAATATAAAATAGAAAACCAACATAGCCAGTGGTGAAACTGAGTTCTCAGAAGTTTGTCTTACAGGCAAGATAACATTCAAAATACTTAGCCATGTGTAAGTAGGGTCACTCATCACAGTTCATGGACAACAAATCAGAAAGGACACCAGTTATAAATAATCAGTATAACCTCTCTGGTCTAATTCCATTGAATAAGAGCTCAGTCTAAAAGATCCATATGTATATCAACCAGTCAGAAAATTAATTATGTTTTCAAAAGGAATATATTCCTTCTAAAAAATTTCAGAAGCTTTCTAAAAATTGAGCTAGGTAATATGACAAAGGCCACATATAGCTAACAAATGGGTGATAATGTTCAAATGCTATTTTTTAATCCCAGGAATTCTTCCTATCCTATCTGATGTAAATGCAAGACATCAATTCTCCCAGTCTTTCCTGTTCTTTTCCCCTTCCTCTTTTTCTTCATTTATTCAACAAACATTTGGTGAACATCTAAAATTGAGCACCATGTTTCCACTCCAATAAAACAATCTACTTCTGTTGTACTTAATTTTCACCTCAGATCTTTAATCTTCCCCTTTAAAGTAGACTTGATAACTTGATGATAAAGGAATAGGTAATTAATAAATAAGAATATTGCCTGCTGAGACATTAAAATGGCTTGTCATTCTTGGATATGTTATTAACATTTGGTAGGTATAATATGCTTTCCAATTTCATGAAATTTCCAATTTCATGGAATGAAAAAAAAAAACTTTTAAGACAGAATTGTAGAAAATAATTTTTTAAGAACTAGAGCCTTTCTATGAGTTATATTTTAACTGTTCAAGTAACCCAAAGGGTTAATGTTAATATAACAAATAATCATCATTTTCAGAATATAAAAACAAAGATAAAATTTTACAAAAGTTTAAAGTGTTTATATGTATCTCTTAGAAAGCTTATGGAAATGCAGTTCACATTCACATGTGATTTGTTTTTAGTTTTTAAAAAAATTATGGTGAAATATGTGTAGCATAAAATTTACCACTTCATTTTTAACTGTGTTATTCAGTAGCATTAAGGATATTCACATTGTTACATAACCATCACCACTGTTCATCTCCAGAACTTTCTCACCTTCCCAAATTGAAACTCTGTCATGTTAAATAATAACTCTCCTTTCCCTCCAGTCCCTGGTAACCACTTTCTACTTTCTGTCTCTATGAATTTGACTATTCTAGTACCTCATGTAAGTGGAATAATAAAATACTGTGTTGCATATGCTTCTTTCAGTACTTTCTAAAGCATTTGGGCTAGACAATTGAGAATAAATGTGGTATCAATTAGTGATATCATGCTTAATCAATTAATTAAGAATGTTATATGAGAATCAAAGTGCTTTCTCACCTCTTAATACAGGATTCAGAATTCTTTGGTTCAGAATCTGAATCTCTTTTTCCTGTTAGTTTGTAATAAAATTGAGCCCTTTATACTTTTTGGAATTTTACTTTTTTTTTTTTTTTTTTTTTTTTTTTTTTTTTTTGAGACGGAGTCTCACTCTGTCAGAATGCAGTGGTTCAATCTTGGTTCACTGCAACCTCTGCCTCCCGAGTTCAAGCGATTCTCCTGCCTGAGCCTCCTGAGTAGCTGGGATTACAGGGCCCTGCCACTACGCCCAGCTAATTTTTTGTATTTTTAGTAGAGACAGGGTTTTGCCATGTTGGCCAGGCTGGTCTCGAACTCCTTACCTCGTGATTCGCCTGCCTCGGCCTCCCAAAGTGCTGGGATTACAGGCATGAGCCACCAGGCTCGGCCTGGAATTTTACTTATACTTAAATTACATATAAAATGTGTAACATGAGCACTACTGATAATCCCTTTCATGATGACTATTAACTATGTCCTGAGCACCTTAGATACTTTATCTCATTTTACTCTTCATGACAACTCAATGAAGCATATAATGACCAGTTTTCTAAGAACGGAAATCAAGACTGAGAGACTTTCAGTAAGTTGTTCAAGGCCACACAGCTGTTAAAAGCAAAGCTAGGAATTGAACACAGGTCTGTGGCTCAAAAGCTCACACATACACTCTACTGTTAACTAAACAATGATATGATAAAGACAAGAAACATCCTTTTCTGAACCCAAACTTTTGGAAATATATAATATCCAATGTGTTTCTTCTTTATAGAAATGTTTAACAGCAATGTCTGCTTCAATATGATGTCAAGAAATACAGTATTAAAATAAATATTTTAAATCACCTCAAACACCAATTATGCCTTGCTTACAATCATGAAGAAATAGAATTTAAAATGAAGAAACATTGTTGTGTTCATTTGTAAATAACATATTGCAGCCAACTGTTTCTTAATTGCTCAGACAGTTGATAAATAATCCAGCCCTGCTGCTCTCCACAGACAATTTGCTTTGGATCAGACCAGGCAATTCAAACAACACTAATTACAGTGAAACCCTTTTATATGAATTTCTGTTTGTCACGGGGCAGAAAGCCCCTTTATAAAGAGTTAAGGCACTTTTTTCTGATTTTTGCCTGAAACATAACAATTATTACCTGGGCTCAAGTTATACTGAATAAATTTCGGTTGAATAAAAATGGATGAAGTTGTATATCATGTTAAAAGTATGTATCTCATTGCTTTTATTGTTTGTTGTACAGTCATGAATTATTTTAATTTTATATTTTTAATTAAAAGATAGAACAGATGGGGAAGCTTTATTTAAATAATATTTTCATTGAACTAAGCTACGTTGTTGAATGATTTACTGTAACAGAAATTTGTGTATTAATATATAGATGTGTCTTTACTGGAGAGAAACCAACACTTCAGGAAGTCTTCACTATACCAAGGGATTCGCTGTAACATGATATCATTGTATTTATGATTTTATGGTGTTAAAATGAATATTAAATGAAACAAAATTCCCAAGGATTACTCAGGAGGCAGCTAAGTACATAACATTTTGCATAGATGGTTGGAAGGCACAATTTTGCTCCATCACTGCATCCATATCCTTGAACGATTTCGACTGAAGGCAGCATTTCTTTGAATTTTTCATTAAACCAGACGTCTTGAAATATGAATTCCTTTTATGTTTCTGTGAGTTTTGGCTAAAAGAACCCCAGTGAATAAATCATACAATACTACATGTCACCAGCACTTGTGAATATTTCTGCTTTGTTATTCTATTCTCAGTAGAGCACCATTGATTATCAAACTCAGCGGAGAGCATTTTATGATCATATATCTCCATTAGCTCCTAGTTTGACTACCATAGATTTTTCTGGTTAAGCTTGCATTATGTATTAGGAAGCCTATCTCTTCAATACAACGTTTGATTTCATTTTTCTAAGGCTAGAACTCTTATTATGTATTATGTATAAAGATTCTTATCTTTTATATGTAAAAATAGGCTGCACTGTCTTTGTGTAACTGAAATGTATGCCATCTTTTTTTTCTTGATTCACAGGTAGCATATTATACTATGATGATGAATCTCTACAATGCAATGGCTGTCAGGGTAAATATTTCTTCACTTGTTAAACAAATGAAAAGTCAATTGTGCCCTGAATTCACTTTTAATAAAATGAGCAAAGCAGAATAATGCAAATTTGATTGATATGCTAATGGTAAAGAGAGAAAGAGTATGTAGTTAAAAAGTTAGTTATGCTAAATAATCTTGGCAGTATTAAAAATTAGAGTAAAATGTAAAACATGTAATTATAAATGCTTATGTTTTAGAATGTTAAATATCTCTGAGCCATAACTAGAGAAAGACTTAAATATTAATGAAGCAATGTATTAGTTTCCATATGTCATATAGAATACATTGTGATAAATAGATGAACATGGTTCTGGAATATAAGATTCCTGCCCAATACAAATCAATTAGAAATTATTCATATGATTTAACAGTAATGAAGTCAGTTTCCAGCTTAGAAGTTTTATTTCTATCATTTCTGTATTCATTTTTACTGTGTTGTTTTCCTAATAGAAAACTGAATTTAGCAATTATGGAGCTTGAACTCGGTTTCTGTACTGATATTGGGAACGGACACAACAAAAATATTATTTCTTTTGTTTCAGACAATATGATAATAATTTAATTGCTAAGCTATTACAAATGGAGAAATTTCTTAAGTGAATTTCATTAGTGTCCTTAAAATCTATGTTGCCTTATATTCTTTTTCATTAATCTGTTAGTTCTTCTGCAAATAATGGATTTTATTTTGAGTGAGGCACGGTAGTAAAATTCTTTCAGAAAGTGCTGGAGTGAACCATAGTGGGTAAGATAACATTATTTTGACTCTGTATTTTGCTTTAGAAAGAGGCTCTTTCCTTTTCAGGTGAGTGTGCTGGTAGTCTAGCCGGCTCACTCTAGTATTTCTTCATCCTCCTCTCTGCTTGCTCTCCTGGAGTCTGAGGAAAAATATAAAAGGAAGAAGTAGATCTTCCTGCTGCTTCTCTTGAGCCAGAGGCAGATACTCTAGCTGCAATGGGCTATTTACCTTTCTCAGTAATATTCATACAGGAAAACAATTTTTCTCTTTTAATGGGAATACTTTGGACTGGGGATTTCAGAGATTTTGTACCGCTTTGCTATAAACCTAACCTCAGAGACTAAAACACCATTGATTATTTTCTGCTTACTTCATGTCAGATGTGTCTCCAAAGTAAAAAGTCATAGATGACTGAGAACCTAAAGCAGTTAATGACCATTTAGCTATCTCCACTGGTCACCAGGGGAGATTGTAGAAGAATATTCTTCCTGTCTTCTGTGCTACTAGGGAGAAGCACAGAAGATAGGGTTAGAAAGGTGCGTACTTTTGTGTATTATTTCACCACAAACCTTCATATCGAGTTCTGGTCTGACTTATTAAGGTTTCTTTTTCCTAGACTAAACATATGTAAGAAATTCACATCAATACAAGTCCTTCAGAAGGCAGTTTTTTACTTATTCCAGCATATACTAAAAGCTCAATTTTCCAATAGCATCATCCAATGTCAATTTATCTTTGATTAATGTCAATGGACAACGTTGAATTTTACCTGAGTCTTGTGATCCTGGAAAACAACAAAGGTTAAGAAATCCCCACACCTGGCTGGGTGTGGTGGCTCACACCTATAATCCCGGCACTTTGGGAGGCCAAGGCAGTTGGATTACCTGAGGTCAGGAGTTCGAGGCCAGCCTGGGCAACATGGTGGAACCCCACGTCTACTAAAAGTACAAAAATTAGCTAGGCATGGTGGTGGGCGCCTGTAGTCTCAGCTACTCAGGAGATTGAGGCGGAGAATCCCTTGAGCACGGGAGGCGGAAGTTGCAGTGAGCCGAGATCCCACCACTGTACTCCGGTCTGGGTGATAGAGCAAGAATCCGTCTCAGAAAAAAAAAAAAAAGAAAGAAAAAGAAATCCCCACACCCTTTTCTGTTTTAGAAACAGCTTACTGCAAAATAATAATAATAATAATAATAATAATAATAGTCATAGAAAAAGGAAAAAAGTTACTCTTCCCTTGTATCAATTAGATATATACAGGGATGCTCCACTTTTTTACCTATGACAAGGCCAGGTGCATTCCCTCCAAATTTCCATTCTTTACCTCACAAATGATTAGCTGAATTGCTTGTTCCTACTGATCAATTGGAACAAAATGTCTGTTAACCAATCTGTGATTTAGCTTCTCTCCCTCCTCTACGTCCCTGAGCCTTGGCCAGCATGTAACATCTTAACGTCCTCTCCTGATAATAGACTGACTTTAGGATAAAAGATTCTCTGATCTACTATTCAATCATGCCACCCTTTTATCCCACTTCTCCACCTTAGATTCCTTCTAGCCTTGTTTTACCTTCCTAGAAAGGAAAAATTCTTTGTGCCTTACTCTTGACTTGCTTGTAAATCTTGTGGTCAAAGTGCTCTCCCTATTGCAATAGTCTGCCTCTGAAGATTGCAGTAGTCACCCTCCCACTTCCTCTTGCAATACTCCTTTCAAATAAAGTCTCTCCCTTGTAATTCTGGATCCTTTTTCCCTTCCCCTTCCTTTCTCTTATGCTTCCCTCTGCTCCCCTCCCTACCTCTCCTGTCCACTCCTATCCTCTTCTTATTGCCTTTTCTCTCTGACACAACATTTTGGGATATCAGAGTAAGGGTGGGAATGCAGTAGGGATTAAAGTGAGGGGAGGGAAGACTTAGCATTTACCTGGAGGTTGGAACAGTCCACTTAGTGACACTCAGAAATTTCTGCGAGGCTGTGTGGAGCACATAAATATTACTATGGGAAATTTCTAATAGAGACATTTCTCTAACAAAGAAGTTCAAAGTCACTCTTCAGAGGTTTGAGATGGGTTAACCTGGTAGTAGACTATGTGCTACTTCATGTTCCTAAGTTGAAGAATCAGGAATGAGGCTCACTGGCATAAAGACCATAAATGATTCCATAACAATGATAAATTTATAGCATTGGTTGATCCAAGTGACCAGTGACCAGAACTGAATCCATCAGTGGACTCCAACCAATTTATTTGTAAGTGGATTTTTGCAAGATGGTGCTCTTAAAATTCTGCTACTTGGAAGAGTGAGTGGCCAAAGAAACCAATGTGTGGCCCAGATACCTTTGTGTTGTGTACATCTGAAGATTACAATCCTAACTGGATACCAGTAGCTGAAGTTTTATTTCTAATACATACAAATCTGCTTTTTCAGTTCATAAGCTACCTGGTAACTTAGTTCAAAATTAGAAGTGAATGGCGAGTGTTCAAAAGAAAGAATCTCTAACGGTAACAGATAACTACCAAATATCTATATGGCCAATCGTATCCAGACAGATATATAGGTACCCAAATTATGAATAAGACCTTCATGAACGACATATAAGAACAAAACTTTTGTCTTAATTTTCCTTATGAACAAAGCCTATTGTAAGTTATATATATTTGGCTATTGATTGCTACCATGACAACTAAAATGTATTCAATTGTCAAAGAGGCTAGTGGAACATTTCTGAAATGGCAGGAGTTTTACAAATTTATTTATAGCCTATCCATCCCTAAATAGATATCACTCTTTTGTAATGAAGAACAAATTATATGTATGTGATTTTCTTTTATGTAATATATATTAATATCCGGATTTGCTGCATTTAGTTTTAAAGGGTCACCTTTTCTCTAAAGACTTTATGATGCCCCTACCCCTGCAGAATTCATCACTTTCCTTTTTTATGTTCCTGTTTTACCATCGACATACTTCTGTTATAGAACCTGTAACATTTTATTATCCTTACTAATTTACATGCCTGTCTCCACCCCACCACCTCCTGCCCCCCTACACACTGTAAGTCTCTTGAGGCCCAGATCCTTTCTTCTTCATCTTTGTATCTTCAATGCTTGGCTTATAGTAGGTGGTTAAATAAATATCCCTGAATAAATCAATGAATGCTGGCCTATTCTTTCCTAAACAAGGAGTAAAAAAAAGTCCTTTACTTTAACACATTTTTTCTAAGTTTCAAAGCGCGTTTGTTGCAAACTATTTAAGCCTTTGCTGGGGGATCTCTAAGCCTTTTGTGATTATCTGACTATACTATAATGATGTAGATAAAGTGGACTTGCTAAGGTAAAATTCAGTTTGTGCAGTTCATATGTAAATAGAAGACTTCACGAGATTCAGGATTTTGCTGAAGTGTCATAATGCATACGGATTTGAAGGAGGTTTGCTATGATATAAGCTGCTGTCAGAACCCACAGTATGCCTTTACAAAACCCCTGTTGCTGATTTGCTGCTAGGCCAGTGACAGTCAATTAATATAGCAATAAATTGCTCAGTAAATTTTTATCTTAGCTCCTGGGGCCCTATTCCTCCTGTTTCTCTGTGACACTTTATTTCCTTTTTAGTCTTCAATTTGACTTTACTCCAGTTAGAGTTCTGCTGTTCTTCCAGCATCTTTTCTACTCCATTGTGGATCCTATTTAAATTTGGCCCCCAACTTTTATTTTCAGTTCTCTTTCTTTGAACAGCTGTTAGTATCTTATGCAAACGCCATGAGCTGATTCCGTTGCATAAGTCATTTCTCTCCCTCTACCATCTAGATGTACAATTGTATATCTTCTGACAGCCTTCTGTAAAACTGACCCTCCATTTTCTATATAGCGAGCACTTGGATGTCATCTTAGCCCTCCAAATACTGGGCTTAGAGAGTCCGGTTTCTGACAATATTATAAAGATGAGGGTAGGAATTACTTATGTGGGGAAAACCCATTTAAAAATATCCCCAGGTAGTAGAGTTTAGTGGAATTATTTTTTCCATCCTAAGGTCTATTTCTTGTCCCTTTTTCGCGTTACCTTGATTCATAGTTTTCAATATTTAGTGTTTTCTCTTGCTTATGGCTTTTGCTGATTGGCTGACCCCATCCAGGAAGAAGTCTGTCGTACAAACGACATATATCTTATACCCAATTCTTACATTTGTAGGGGGAAAATAATCCAGGACCAAGATTACATGCATTCAGCCTCAACCTTGTTGCTGACG